GGGGGGGGGTTGGGGGGGTGGCGGAGGCGGTGTCTGTTTGGCCTGGAGAGGCGACGGGTCGCCTGGGGGCGTGGCCGTTAGGCCGACCAGGCGTGGCGTCCGGCGTCGGGGCGTGTTAGGGGCGTGCGAATCGGCCGACGTCTGTAAACCGAGTTCCTCTGGGTGGTGCGGAAGCGCTGAGGCTGTTGAGCTGCTAGGTGGCCGTCTGCTCAGCCTCCTGGGCTGTGGGGCGCGAGCCTTCGATCCCACGCCGTGTGAGAATCTCATGGCGCCCCGGGCCGTGCGCTGCGCGCTCCTGGTCTGGGCCCTGGCGCTGTGCTGCCTGAGCGGCGCGGGCCGGCCGTGGAGGTGAGCAGGCTGGGAGGAAGGAGGCCCCGTGTGTGCCAGACTTCGGAGTAGCCCGCGGGGACGCCGGCTTCGTGTTCGGGGCGCTCCGGAGGCCCCCAGCGCGCGCCCCTTCCACTGCTTAGGGGCGCTACCCTTGAGTAGAAAAGGGTACGCGGGGTGTCATGAGTGATTCCGATGTTAACTCTGCGGGAGAGGCCAACATTTGAACACCGTGTTTTAACCTTTTTCCTTTCTGTTTGTGTAATGGTCAAGTTTATAGAAGCATTTCATACTTGCACAGGAGGGGTGGAAAAGGTGGGTTTTACTTTTTAATTAAGCGCTATTGCTATTTTACTGTATACTTTAAGAGATAACATGGTATTTCAGTTTCCAGAAAGCATGTTTTATGAATAAGAGCTGTATTTGCCAAAGGTCAGAGCCCGGGAGGCAGTGTAGGGTGCTGGGTGAGTGCTAACCCTAATTTCTCTCCTGTTGTGTGGCCTTGGTGCTCCCGCAGAGTTGGTACGGGGAGTGAGTTGCCCAGAGTGTTTGAAATAGTGCCTGGCAGAGGGATCAATGAACGTTAGCTGAAGGCCTTAGGCTGTAGTGTGTTATTCCCCAGCCCTTTGTGTAATGCATGCAGCTGACAGAATTGTCACTCTTTGGGAGTGCTGAGTTTTTCCATTTAAGGAGTACTTTCTAGTTTGAACGCTTTGTATGTTAAACCTTGTAAATATAGTTAGATAGCTTGTATTAGTCCATTTTTTGTTACTATAATAAAATACCTGAAGCTGAGTACTTATGAAGACAAGAGGTTTATTTATCTCACAGTTCTGGAGCTTCAAAGCGTTGACTCCAGTCCTGATGAAGACCTGGGGGGTACATGAAGAAGAAAGCTATCACGGACAAAAAGGAAGCCAGAGAGATTTATGGGGCCAGCTCAGGCTTTTGTAACAATTCTTCTCAGAACAGCTAACCAGCATCCCAGGAGAAAACCTTAAACCTTTCCAACCTCAGGTGACTTGGGGTCCTCCCAGTAGGACCCACTTCTTAAAGATCCCAGTACTGTGACTTGGGGGTGCCACTGTCACTGAGCTGGGTCTGAGGGGCCTGAGGCTGAAATAAGGTATTTAACACACCCTTTTAAAATAAGTTTGTAGATTCCCTAACTCTTGTCGTAAAAAAGGAATTTTCCAATCAGTAAAAGAGGGCAGGAGAAGGATTTATTAGAGGTAGATAAAGGACACACTAAAAGTGGAGTGTGGGTGCTCAGAGAAATGAGGCACAATACAGTTGGAAACTGGGGATCTTTTAAGTGTTTTGGGTGGTAGGAGTCTGGAATTCAAGAAGATAATGTACAGTCTTAGTCTTGTCTAGTGGGTGGAAAATGAAGGCCCACCCATAGTGAGATAGTGGCCTTTTCATATGGGAAATCCTACAAAGGTCTGTTTATAGGGGAAAGAGGACCATTTGCAGGTAAAAAGGAAGGGACAAACCCATTTGTAGGTGAAAGTGAGTAATTACCCAGGTTTTCTAGGTTTTGGGAGAAGAAAAGGGAAGGAAAAAACTGCTTGTGTTCTGAAGGTGCAATTTTTCTTCAATGTATTGTACAATTTAAAAAATCTCAATTTCCTTGTCTCTTTTCTACCTAGTTTTTATTTCATCTACCTCAAAGCCTCCAAGATGTGGACCTTTAAGGGACAAACCACCTCTAAACCATATCAGGCCTCCTCCTTGGAGTTCTGGTTGTGGATAAACTACAGTTTCACTGACCCTTTGTTATAGGAGAAAGGTAACTCCCAACCTGTTAGAGGTCAGATGTGCTGAATTTGTGTTCCCTGAAATCTAAGAATGAATCCCAAAGGACAGCAGAGTTTAAGAGTAGGAAAGGTTTATTGAGAGCTCCTGAGAGACAGGAGGGGTCCCAAGTGGGTTGCCACCGAGGTCCTTTGTCAGGGGTAATTTATACAGCAAAGCCAGAATGTGAGTACAGCATGGGTCAAACTATAATCAACCTATAAGATTACAAGTATAGCTACTTAGCCAATATATTGATCCATTAGGGAAGCGGGTCACATAGCAAGGGTATATGGAAAGAACAAAGGCATTTTGGGGAAGGGATGGGTCCGGATGCTCTGGTCACCCATCTGGGCATCTGATGCCTAGCTGGGCTTCCTGGACCCGGTGGTACTAATTAGAATATAATTCCAAGTTACTGCTTATCCCTCAGGGAGGCCTGTGGGCCTGGCCATTGTATCTTTATCGTGCGGCCTGGTCTCCAGCCACAATTCTGTTTTTACTTTTCACTGACTTCCTTGAGAGTCTAGTCCATCTCAATATTAATTTCTAACTAACTTACCTGCCTGTAATACTTTTGTCAGTGGACAGGTAGTCCCTGAAGCAGAGAGGGGAACCATGACTCACCTCACCAGTGGGGCAGGTCTCAGACTCCCTGACTTCCATCACAGTAAAAAGAACTTCCAGGACATATCAGTATGAGTATAATGAGGTTTATTAGGCATAAGAGACAGGCATAATATAATCCAGATCTGAGGATATTTATGTGTTTTGGGGGAGTGGAATTTGTGAATCTATAGAATGTTTTAGCTTAGTTTACAGGAAGAAGTTATGGTCTACACACAGGTAGATAATTTTATAAGTCAAACAGTGGCCTATTATAGGGCGAAAGGCAGGGCCCAGCCCATTGTTTTTTGTTTGGTTGATTTTTTGACACAGGTCCTTGCTATGCAGTTCAGACTTGCCTTGACCTTACTGTGTAGCCCAAACTGGCCTTGAACTCATGATGATCTTTCTTCCTCATTCCCCTTGGTGCTGGGATTACAGATGTGTGCCACTTGGCAGTGTCTCTGTGTGTGGTTGATCTAAGGTGTTTTGCCTAAAAACATTCTTTGAAATCTCTGAATCTATTTCTCTTTCTCAAGGCTAGCTTTCTGCTTTTACCCTATCAACTAAGCTAACAGATTTAAAGTATCTTTAAGGGTTTTTGAGTGTGATAGGCCTATAAGGAAAGAAGCATAAACAAGCCTAGGAAGTATAGATATGGGTAACTTTGGATAACTTTGTCTTGAAGTTGTTGTCTTCTTAAAAGTACAATTTTTAGCGAGGAGAGTATTTTTTTTTTTTGTACCAGGGATTGAGCTCAGGACCTGGTCCTTATGAGGTAGGTGCCGGAACCACTGAGCTAAATCCCTGGCCCAAAAGTACAATTTTTAAATTGTGATTTTCCTTGCCTCCTTCCTAACTATCTTTATTTCTTCTGTCCTAGTATTATAGACAGCTAAGTTAGGTAGAAATATTGTAGGCAGTCAAATAGGCCTGGACCCTGGAGAGAGTCAGTGCAAGAGATGAAAACACATTACAACTGTGACTGGAGGCACATCAGTTGGAGGCCAGGCCTCAAGATAAAGAGAAAATGGCCAGGCCTACATACTTCCCCAGAGGATGAGATAAGTAGTAACACCTGGTAGTGAAGCCTTGGTAGACATCAGCCACCTTGGAAGGTAACCAAGACCCTCAGACCCATCACCTTTCTGAAAAGTTCTTTGTTTTTTCCATGTACACTTGCTATATGACTTGCTCCCCCCATTGGATCACTATTACCTAAGCAATTATACTTGTAACCTTATTGGTTGTTCGTAGCTTTAACCCATGTTGTACCCATGTGGTTATGCTTTATAAAACTTATCCCTGAAAAGTGAGGTCCTCAGCCACCCTTTCAGGACTACTCTGCCTCTCAAGAGCTAAAATCTCTCCTCTCAATAAGTATTTCCTACTCTTCACCTCCATTGTTCCTTGGAATTCATTTTTCAATTTTGGGGACAATGAACTTGGAATATCTGACATCTGACAGATTGGGAGTTATAATATTTCCCCTATATCATATGGAGGTTGAATATTATTCTTATATCTCTGTCTTACCTTCTGTGAAGTCTTAGTGAGTTTTACAGTTTTCAGACTTGTGGTATAGGCAGTTAGATGTGCCTACTGTGTTCTAGATAACACGTGATGACGTGTTGCGTATACTGCGTTCCAAGAAGCCCACGTGACATACAGTGTATATACCAAGCTCTTGATGACATGTGAGGGGTGCTAGGCACAGGTCGTGCTCTAGATAACAGCCCTAGGTAGCCTCTGAAATAACACCCTGTGATGGATCACATGTCAGTAGTTCTACGGAGCAGTAAGTGAATCTAAGTGCAGAGTGAGGTAGTGACATTAAATAGTTTTTATGTTAGCTCAGGTCATGTTTGATTGCCACTTGAATTGCAAAAAGATGTCCACTTTTCAGGACCTTACAGGTTTACGAGTGAAGCTAAAAGATTATGCATCTATATTTCTTAACTGCTCCAGTGTCCTTAGGAGAAAGATTGGCACTGAGCTGCATCCCCAGTCCTTTGTATTTTGTTTTATTTTATGTTTTATTTTGAGGCAATATCACCAGTTTGCTAAGTTGTCCAGACATGCAGTCCTGCTGCCTCGGGCTCTCAGAGTGCTGGTATTACAGGCGTTTGCCACCATGCCTAGCTGAGAAAGGCATTTTATGGCTTATTTGCTTTCCTTCAGTGGAACCCTTTCTGACTTGCCTGACCTCTTACACTTGTATTTATGTTCTTTGCCACTTAATATTGAAGGTCATCATGTGTGTTTTCTTATGGTGTTTATCAATTTCTTAGGAATGTGCACTGCAGGTAGGGACTTTGTTTCTAGCAGCATCCCTAGTCTCATGGATACTTAATGTTGAACAGATGAGTGGATAGATTTTTTTCCTGAAAATTTAAAGAAGTTATTGAAAAATAAGCTTCTTGGGCCAGGGATTTAGCTCAGTGGTTCCATTGCTTGCCTTGCAAGCTCAAGGACCCGAGTTCAATCCCTGTTACAAAAAAAAAAAAAAAAAAAAAAGAAAAATAAGCTTCTTGTCTTTTAACAGTGGCAGCCATGAGTGGAAAAAACTAATTTTGACCCAACTCTGGCCTCCAACATTGTGCAAGGTGAGTTTTTCCCCCTCAACCTGCCCTTTTGACGTAGAACCCTTGTAAAGAGTTGTTTACAGGCACATGTGCTTGCTTGGATGCTGCTGGCTGACCAAGCCTCCAGCCTCCTTGCCCTGTCCAGTATTGGAGGCTGGAGCTATTCCAGGCAAGCTGCGTCTGCAAACAGGACATTGTTGCTGGAAGAGGGCCATGTTTAATTCCCTAGGACAGCTGTAACAAAAGGCACAAACGCAGTGACTTAGAACATTAATTCTCTCACAGCTGTGGAGGGGTTATGTCTGAAATCAAAGCATCAGTAGGGTTGATTCTTTCTATAGGGTGCTGAAGGTGTTTGTTCTAGGTTTCTAGAACTTCCTCTGAATCTCATTTGTATCTGTGTCTCCATTATTACCTTAGCCTGCTGTTGTTTCAGTTTTCCAGCTGTGTCCTAGGCTTATAGATACATCACCTTCCTTGTGTCTGCCTGTCTTGTGTCTGTCTCTTCTCGTGACCTAAGTGTTTGGATTTATGGGCCCTCCCCAATCTAGTGTGACCTTATCTTATCTTGATTACATCTGCAAGTATCCTATTTCCAAATTAACAGATACAAAAGTTGAGACAGGGATACATCATTGGGGATCAAAATTCACGATGGGGCTGGATTTGTCTCCATGTTATATTTGAAGTCTGAACAAAAGTTGAGACAGGGATACATCATTGGGGATCAAAATTCACAATGGGGCTGGGTTTGTCTCCTCCATGTTATGTTTGAAGTCTGCTTAAACATCTTCCACTTGTGCAAAGGATCTGAGAAACAATGCCTGCCTCCTTCTTTGTTCTGCTTGGCAACAACAACAGCTTTCTCCTTCTGTGGGTTTGACCTGCTTTGTGTCTTTTTTTGATATAGGAGATGAAATATGAAAATGTTATATCTCCCAACCTGGTAGATGTCTGATACACCGAGTTTGTGTTCTCTAAAATCAAAGAATGAATTCTAGGAACAACAGAGGTTAAGAGTAGGAAAATATTTATTGAGGGGGAAAGATATAGGTCCCGAGAGAGACAGGAGGACCCAAATGGGAAGCTGGGGACCACACTTTTTAGGGAAGTTTTGTAGAGCAAAACCCACATGGGTACAATGTCGTTTAAAGCTATGCTCACCCAATAAGTTACAAGTATAGTCACTTAGGTAATAGTGATGCAATGGGGACGTAAATCACATAGCAAGAGTACATGGAAAGAACAAAGAACTCAGTCAGGCAGGTGGTGGATCTGGGGGTCTTGGTCACCCAGTGAGGCAACTGGTGTCTATCTAGACTTTACTAGACCAGGTGTTGTCACTTATCCTTTAGGGAAGTATGAAGGCCTGGTCCTTGTCAGGCTTGACCAGGTCGTGAAATGGTTAATGAATATGCTCTTTAATTCCAAGCTACAGTTTGACAAGATACAAAAACCACAAAACAGGCAACCATGCAGGTGCTGTCTCCGCACAACAAAAGCAGGATGGGATGCTCCCAACATAGAGATAACAACTACAAAGTATGCATCTTTTCAATGCCAAGTCACCTGAAAATATCCATACATCTGCCTTGATTGCTGCATGGACCCTGACCACAAATATTTGCTCTGACCCCTATATGTAATAGATATGCCAGACATCTTCCAATGCCCAATGAAGCTTTCTGCTTTTTTTTGTGTGTGGGGCTGGGGGCCTCTTGCTTGCGGTCAGTCCACCTCTAAATAAAGTCTCTACCTCTTTGCTTGCGCTAGCCAGCTCGGGTGGTCTCATCCTTCCATGCCATTTTTGTTACAGTCCTTTTGTCATTATCTTGAGGCCTGGCCTCCAGCTGGTGTGACTCTGGCCACAGCTATAGTGTGTTTTTACCTTTTGTCCTGACTTTCTGAGGGCTCAGTCCTGTCTAACTGCCTATGATATTTCTATCTAACTTAGCTGTCCTTAATATTTTGTCTTTTTAGGGCATTAGTGCTGAGGTTCTTCCCACTGGAACCCTGCCTTGCTTCCATAGTTCCTTCTAGGACTGGTCCTTCTCATGGGCAGTTACAAAGCTGATCCTGGTATCCTTTGCAAAGTTATCTGTAGTATTTTATCATATTCCTGAACTAGCACTAATTTCATTGACAGTGTTTATGAAATTTTGCTAAGAGTTTTGAATTTTGAGGCCTCTGAATTATGCAAGATGAATGTAGCCAGTAGGTGAGATATAGTTTCATCATTTCCTGCCAGAGTGAGAAGTTAGGAGCACTCTGGGTTTTTGTTTCACCTTTAGCGTTGAGTAGTGAGGACATTCTTGCTTCCTCACTGATTTACTTTTCTGTTGACAGGTAAAAGTGAAATTTCACTCATTATCCTCACCAAATTATACATTTTTGGTCTGGAATCTCATTTGCAACTGTGTCTCTGTTAATACATTAGACTGCTATGCTTTCAGTTTTCCAAACTTTACAACTTGTCTGTTTTTCCCTCCTGATGCTGTTTCTTTTTCTTTGGTGCAGGGGTGGAATGGGATGTGAATGGAATGAAGGCGCAGGGAACAAAGTTTTAGTTGGCAGGGAGTTGAGGAATCCCTGACCTCTGAAGTCTCCCTGTGTGGAGAAAGAGCTACGACTCAAGGTCAGAGGCAGAAGAGTCACCTTCAGTTCTGGCCTTTCTGAGATATGGGTGTGTCCCTTGACTGCATGTGATATGCAGGGAAGTGCCTTCCTGCCTTGAGGCTTTAGTAACAAGATTTTTTAAAAAATGATGAGCTAAATGTCACTGTTAGACAATTTATTTCAAACCAGATGGCTGCATAAAAGAAAGTGCTGGTATTCCAGTCCAGGTGTCCTCCTGGCTGCAGGGTCTGTCTCTGGGCTTCTTTCTCTGAGATGTCCACAGTACAGTACCTGGACAGTCTGTCTTGGTTTCCACTCTGTCCTCAACCTCAAGCTCTGTAGGAGCTGATGAGTACTCGCTGAGGAATGGAAGAAAGTGATCCCTTGTTGGAGTTACCTCCTTATGACTCATGTTTGGTGCTGGCATTGCTCTTCATAAGCTGTGGGCTACAGGAAGTAAGGCTTCCTTAGGGATGGAATTGGGGTGCTAACAGAGATTGAAGTATATGGTCTCTGTCGCTTGGATTTTATAGGCTGTTGCCCACTGTTCTGTAGCAGGCAGCTGTCACTGGGCACTTCAGCAACTGAAAACAGGCCCTTCCTCATCTCTTGACCAGCCTGAAAAGAAGCTGCCTTCCCACAAAAAGTGATTTACAGAGGAAAGGATTGGACAAGATGGAGCATGATGCCTGTCTTTCCTCGAACTTTGCTTAGTCCCTGTGAGGTCTGGACCTGAGATCTATTTTACTCAGGCTGATGGGTCAAGTTAATTTTTTGATTGTTTATTGTGGAAAAATTCCATCTTAGGCGAACCATTGACAGGCAAACCATTGCCCCTAAAAAATTTTTTGTTGTACTAAATTTTTATCTTTATTATTGAGGCCAAGAGTATACTATCCTCACCTTGTACTTCTTGGCTTCGAGTTTTTGATACTTATTACTTCACTAATGTACTCAGACCTGGTAGTATAACGGGATATTATCAACCTTTGTTCAGAACATTTATTTCTGATTACATAGTTAGCAGATTATTCAGGGGCAAATGTATTTCCATTAGGTTGTCTTAATTTGTGAGTACATATAAAAAGCAAAAGTAGCTGTCTAACTCTAGTCTGCTAAATTGAGGCCTGGCCTAGAACATGGAGCCCCAGTGCCTTTTCTTCCTGAGCCTGTTCCTGGAATGAAGATATTGTATAGTAGTAATACTGGGTTCACCTTGGCTTAGTAATGCTCCTGTGATGTATGTTGAAAGGAAGTAGGGTTGCTAAATGTTCTTAAACAATGAACCAATTATCTTCTTTGTGTCTTTTCTCCCCAGGAAGTTAATGACTGTGAAAAGTCTCTGGATTACTGGACGATACATGGACTATGGCAAGCATTTAATATAATAAAGTCTGATGAAAGGGGAGAAGCTAGCTAACTTGAAATTGTAGCTTGAATCTAAACTTAATAATTATACTTGTTATTTTTGTTAGGGGTTTATTCAGTATATCAGATCCTTATTTTAAAATAGTTGTTTCCTAACACACCCCTAATTCTGATGTGTATTTTGTTTTGGTAGGCTAATAACAATCTAGTTTAAATATATTTTTAGGGATTCTGGGAACATTTTAGGATCCCTAAGTTTTAATATTTTACTTTTTTCTTTCTTTGGAACCCATTATATAAATAAACATGTGACATATATGTATGTATACGTATGTATGTAAGAGAGAGGGAAAATAAGAGTATTATACACTTCACAAATACTTTATTTTTTGATTTTGTCTAAATTATACTTAGTTAATTATTTATTTGTACACATATTTGTGATGTTAAATTATGCACATTACTTTGTTCCCTGGAAGGGATCTATTTTGTTCTGGTTCTTATTAGTACCTTCTTGTCCCTTAGAAATGGGGGAGAGGGTTAGGAAGTAGATTAAATAGGGACCCAAGTACTTGGCTACAGTTCCACTTTCTTCCCAGGTTCTCTGAGGCTTTGGTCTTTATTGAATTTTGTTTAATTTCTTTGCTGTCTTCAGTTACCTTGATTGTATGCTTGTGATGGCTGCTTCATTTGTAAGGCGCTGGAGTCAAAGTCTGCAGGGCTTCTCTCCTCCTGGGTGTGTGTGTGTGTGTGTGTGTGTGTGTGTGTGTGTGTGTAGGGGAAGTTGTGCTGCTTTCAGCTTCTGGACAGCCTCATGATTGCAAAGCCGCAGCATCCTGGCCTACATGGGGTTCTAAAGGGTCGTTGAAAGTCACTGTAAGGACTTGATGAACTAAGCAGCATCTAGAGAATGAGAGTTAATGTGTCCAGAATCAAACATGTGAGGGCAGAAAATTCAAAATCAAGGAGTGTGAATTTGGTCCTAAAAAATAAAAACAAAAGTCATGCTAACTGATCTTGTTATGGGCCAAGCATTTTTGAGTGTGTCAACTGTATGTTATCTCATTGATTGTGTCACAGTTTAGAGGTACAAGCTCCTTTATTTTCATGCTGCATTTTGGAATGGCTGTGGCCCAAGTCAGATTGCTCAGCATCACTGTTCTAGGAAACAGCCCATGGTGGGCCAACTCCAAAGCACCCTCTGTTGTGCTTCCTCTACCAAAAAGCCAGCCTGTATGGATTATTTCTTCTTTTTTAACTGTTCACAACAGCCATAATCTCTGTGTCTTGCTGCTGGTGGCTTGGACTACCCGTGGTACACGCATGCCTGTCCCATGCATGACTGTACCACTACTACCACCAGTGGCACAAGCAGCCTGATGGGACAGTCATACATGTACCATGGGTGGTCCAAGCCAGCAAGAATGTATTAAACATCATTTCTTTCTTCTTCCAAAGAAACTAAAACTGTGACTATTTGTTTTTAAGCATTCTTTGTTAAAAGGCTTGCAGAGAATATGGAATTCTTAGTTAGAATTTTTCTTTTCAGTCTTTAATGAAAGTCTATTCTAATGTCATATAGAAGCCATCCTAACCAAGACTAATATTTCTCATTTTGTTTTTTTTAAATTTGGATCTCAAGGCCTGACAGAGTGGAAGATTGTAATTCATCGTGGCACTTTCATTTAGATGAGATTAAGGTATAAACTTAATTATCTTTCTATTGTAGTAGAGCATTGAACCTACATTAACTCTCTTCAAACGTATACCCTCAAAATCAAGTTAGGATTGAGCCCTAGGCAATGTTTTAGTAATTATTAATATCTAAAACAAGCCCATAAGTTAAATAAAAATTGACCTTTCTCCCCTGGACCCAATCCACAGAATAAGTGAGCTGTGGGAAGAGGGCATAAAGAGGAGCAAAGACCCTTATATTTGCCTGCCAGCCCCAATTAGTCTCCAGTCCCAGGGCTCTTGGGTCAGTGACAGAAAGTGAATATCTGGTAATGTGGGGTCTGGAGAGGCATCTGTGGGCAGCTATGCTGGAGAATGGGCACACAGTATTGAGGGCCGACCTTTCCAGCCATAGGTGGGGTGAGTGCTACATAGGGACTCTGAACTGGGAGAAAATGACGGGCCTTTCCAATTCAGAAGCTCCTTTTAAAAGAATGAGCCATAGGAATGCAGTCAGCGATGTTAAGAGAAGTACTTTTTTGAGGTACTCCTAATTCATGTGGAATATAGCACTCTACCATGCTTATTTTTCCTTAGTGGGTACAATAGTCCCTATGTGTATTCAGTCATCTCTCAGGGCAGGGCAGGACCAACCATGTAGATACAGATCCAGGGCCACACTGGATGAACTTCAGCATTTAAAAACAGAATAGAAAAGGGGCCTATGAAAATGGAATCAGGAGGAGGGAAGGCAGGGAAAAAGGGGTGCAGTTGAAGTGTCAATGAAAGGAGGACCCATAAAAGGAAGGCCAGAATAACTTGGGTCAAGGGACTGCCTGGTCTTTGGTAGTCATGCTGTTGGTCTTTCAGAACAGTCTTGGTTTACTTGTGTAACGTAATGTTGAACTTAGCATTTGTCCCAAACGAAAGTAGTCTAGTTTGGAAAATAAATTGCATCATCCCCCCGTGTCCACCCCAAAGGCTGATGGAGCTCAAGCCAGATTGAGAGGGTAGCTCTGAAGGAAGTGAGAGGAAGTGAGAGATGGGGTGGGCAGCTCCTGAGGGAAGGAGGAGGGTAGTGAGATGGTTACCAGAGGGTTGAGGAGGAGAAACATCCTAATGGGAGTAGTGGAAGGCAGGGGAAGGTGAAGCTATCCTAAGTTTGTATGTGTGTCTGGGAAATTTTTCCGGTTTTGGTCTAATACTGGTAGGTAGAGATCAAACAATGAACTCAAGTTGGGTTTAGCGTAACCATCTGCATAGAATAGCAAGGCTCAGCTCAGACAAGCTCTTCTCTGAAAATATGAGCTTGTATTTGTTTTGACAGACATTATTTTTAGAGGAGTTTTAGGTTTACAGAAAAATTGTATGGAAGGTACAGTTTGCAGTTTTCCCTATTAACATCCTCCACCACCAAAGTTATGTTAGTCACAACTGAGGAACCAGTACTGATCCCTTCTCTCCCTCCTTTTCTTTGTCGTTGTCTTATTATTATTCTTATTCTTCTTATTATTATTTTGAGACAGGGTCTTACTATGTAGTTTAGCTTGGTCTTGAACTCACTGTGTCACCCAGGCTGGCCTTGAACTCACGGTGCTGACTCACCCTCCACAGTGCTGCCTAGCTTCTGATACCTTATTAACTACATTTCATAGTTTGCATTAGGGTTTGCTGTTTGTGTTGTATTGTTTTATAAGTTTTGACAAAGCTAGAGGACAAGTGGCCTCCATTGCAGTGTTGCGGTTTCTTCTTAGTACTGAGTAACATTCCATTGTATTTACCATAGTCTGTTTAGTCATTCACCTATGAGAGCTTGTATTTTCCACATATAGTTGTGTGATTACTCAAATTTCACGTTTACATATATCTTAAAGATATACTTCATGAAGAATGCAGAATCATTTTATTCACTTAAATGTTATTAATAAGGCTCAAACTTTTAAATATATTAATTTATCAAATTTACCTCCTGTTTTGAGTTTGTTAGGTCTTATATACATTTTTTTTCTTAAATTATGCACAGGATCTTTTCCAGGATATGAATCTGTACTGGCCTGATATAAAGCACCCATTGAATGGCAGCAGGTTCTGGTAAGTCCAGGTTTCAGACAGTCATCATGTACCTTTTGCCACAAGTGTGGGAGGCGGTATGAATGCATTCTAAATGGAAATTTTATGAGAGGTACAGAAAACAGACAGTAGAGCCTATCTTCTGAGGTTGGTAAGTGTGCATGGTCTTTTATCTAGAAATGATCCTGTTATGCCATTTTTGGTGCCTTTCTCCAGTGGGTAAAATGACAAAAAGCTGAATTTACCTTATAAACTTGTTTTCTAGTCTATGTGCTATTGTTACGGTTAATATCTAGAGGTCTCCCCAAAGCCTCATGTGCTCAAAGGTAGGACTTTTGGAAGGCGATTGGATTATGGGGTTCATAGCTGGCTTGCTGTTAGGAGATGGGATCTGGTCACAAGAGGTGGGTCACTGGAGGGCGTGGCCCAGAAAGGTTTAATCTCCCTCCAGGGCTCCTCTCTTCACTCTGCTTCTTGTCTGCCATGCCATGAGCAGCTAGTCCTACACCATGCCCCTGTGCCATGCCCTCCTGCCTCAGAGCCACCAACCATGGGCTGAAATGTGAGCCCAAATAAACCTCTCTTCATTTAATTTTCAGGGGTCACATATTGTGTCTCGGTGACAAGGAAAGTAACTAAGCTATTTCATTCATGACTTCATTTTTGAAAACTGTATTGACGTTTAACTAAAATATTTGCACATCTAGGAATTAATAAAAGTCAGGAAAGAATATGTGTTACGGAAATTGTGCTGTTGCTTTGAAAAATATTAAGAAGAAGAACCTGGGCGTGGTGGTACATGCCTGTAATCCCAGCATTCTGGGAGGCTGAGGCAGACTTGCAGTTCAAGCTCAGCCCGTCCAACTTAGCAACTTTGTGAGACCCTGTCTCAAAAATGAAAAAACAATTAATGGCTTGGTGTATAGCTTAGTGTAAAGACTCTGAGTTCAATCTTCAGTAACAGCAAAAAACACCCCCCAAAAGCAAAGACAACATGTGGAGGAGAGAAGATAAGATTTTCACTTCAGGCAGAGTCCTTAGTCTAATAAAGCAAAACACCCGTGAGGTTTGTAAGAGTTGGACCTAGGGCAGACAGGCTGTGTTTAATTCAGGATAGTTTGTAAAACTATTGCTTTTTAAGAAGAAAAAATTGACAGTTTATATTATATCAACTGAAGGTAATTCTGTTTTTCGTATGTCTTCCTCCAATATGACAATTTAAGATTCAGATGATAACTGATCAAATTTTCCCAGAAACATTAATGTAGACACGTTTTTATGTTGAGTTTTTAGTTAAAAATGAAAGCTTGAGTTTAGTGAGAGGCTTTAAAAAACCCTGAGTCATCAGCACTTTGGGTGACATTTCACCCAAGGCTGTGTGGTTTCAGGATTCGCTGACTGTGGGTCTTTTGGTTGAAATCACCCTTCAAAAAAGAGAACTACTTTTGGTGAAAATTTTGATGGACAGCTCAGGTCTCAAACTTTTTCTGCATATTTTGTGTACTGGAAAATGGCTTCAAAGTAATTAATGGCCATAATGAGTTGAAGTGGAGGGAGACAGGAAAAAGCACTTACATGTAACTTTGCAGTGTACTTCAAATGATGAATCTCTGAGAACTGTGTCAGTCAGCTTTACTATAACAAGTACTTGAGAAAAGCAACTTAAGAGGAAAGATTTATTTTGGCTCACAGTTTCAGAGGTTGGTCTCATTGCTTTGGGCCTTTGGTAGCACTGTATATGGTGAGAGCATGTGGCAGAGGAAGATGTTCACCTTGTGGTGGCTGAGAAGCAAAAATAGAAACAGGAATGGGCCAGGATCTCATCTCCTTCAAGAGTTTTAAACTGATATGTCAGGCATGGTGGCGTATGCCTGTAATCTCAGCACTCGGGAGCTAGAGGCAGAAGGATCACTGCGAGTTTGAGCCTAGCCTGGGCTACATAGTGAGTTCAGGGCCATCCTGAAATACAAAGTGAGACCTTGTCTAAAAAAATCAAAAGGAAATAAAAGTTTTAAACTGGTGTGGTGCCACTTGGGAGGCTGAGGATTGCCACAAGTTCGGGCCGAGCCTGGGCTACATAGTTCAAGGCCAGCCTGCATTGCAGAGCTAGACCTTGTCTCAAGAAAAAAAAAAAATTAGTAGAGGCTGCCCTAGGAACAGGCCAGCACCTTTCTTGGTTACTAGCCATCCCGCCCTTTCTTGCCTCCTTTTGGAAAAGTGAAGTTTGTGCTGCTCTCTGAAATCCTTGGCTGTCAAGCACCAGCTCTGCAGGAAATTCATATTGTTGTATGGCTTGGTGGGTGTCTGAACAACGGCATTTTTTTTCCCTTAGCTCTGATTTGCTGTTAATTGAACAAGCTGATTGTAGAGGTGAACTGGAGCTAATGAGTGGTGGAAAACAAGATGGAGAGTGCTCGTTCGGGATGGTCATATGGCAGTGGAGCATTGTTCTAAGCCCAGGGAAACTACTGTGTTGCCTGTGTTGCAGATGAGGGATTGTATCCTTCCCATCTGGTGATACAGTGGCATGCCCACTGTGTGACTGCTGTGTGTGAGGAAAACACATCTGAATATTGTCTTGCCGTGAACCTGCAGGAAGCATGAGTGGGAGAAGCATGGCACCTGTGCTGCCCAGCTGGATGCCCTGGATTCTGAGAAGAAGTACTTTGGGAAGAGCCTGGTGCTGTACAAGCAGATTGACCTCACCAGGTGCGTGCATTCAACCTGGAGATGGCTGTCAAGCCGGGGCCCCCCAGTGGCCAAGAATGAGGAGAGGTTGCTGATTGTTGGCAGCCCTGCCACATGTGTGCTGGCACCTTGAGGAGGGGTCATGCCTGACAAATGCTCCAGGCCCTTCTGTGCACATACAGTCACTCTAGAATGTGACCACCCGGCTCAGGCTGCCTGGATGCTGGCTGGTCCTGACAGTAAGGTGGCTCTATGAAGAGGGCCAGCAGGGCAGCTGTGTCAGTCATTGTTCCTGACAGACACTGTGCCAAAGTCATAGTCTCCCGGAGATCCTGAGTATGAGGGGGCTTCTGCCTTAACAGCCAGAAAGTGGTGAACGAGGGTCCTTTCAGCTTTAGAGATGACCCAGTGCATATGGGCTTGCCACTGCTTATGGGCTTGCCACTGCTTGCACTCGCCTCAGCTCCAGAGATGGGAATGTGTTGCCACAATACAGGAGCCAATGGACTTGTAAGGACAATGAGCCCCACAAGGGCCATTGCCCACCACCCTCCTCACCAGGGTCTGTCACAAGAGAGCTGAGGGCTATCTTTTGCCGTGCCATCTAGACACTTCTGTGGCATCAAGCGTGTTAATTCTTACGGTCCTTCATTGTAAGTGACCTTAATAAGCCAGTGAGCTAGTTTTTTAAATATGACAAGACAGAGTGAGGAGGGTTTCAGCACAGGAGGCTGGCTGTAGTGGGCTGAATGAATACATGTGTCCCCCTGGAATTTGGTGATTGGATCTTCACCCTCAAGATATGAGGAGTGTCAGTTTCCTTTTTAAAACCCCAAGAGCTATTTCTTCTTACCCCTGGAGGACACAGAGAGACACCTGCTATCTGTGAGAAATGAGCTGTCACCAGATGCCTGATCTGCCAGTGTGTTGATCTTACACTTTGTGAGAAATAAATGTCTGTTGATTATTTTAAAAAGAAAAAATGACATTATACAGTATCTGCAGTGCTAGCTGTAATTATGCAGGTTTTTTTTGTCAGAATGTTTCTGGTTCAGATGAGAGTCATCCCAGGAGCCTTTGCTCATCAGCCATATTTAAGGTGTTTGAATCAAATCTGCTTCCAGATGAATAAACCTCTATGGTTCTCTAGACACGTGTTCTACCTCCACACACACAAAAGTATCCACAAGTGATGTGTCACCATCTCACACAGATGGTCTCTTGTGTCATTTTGATCAAACACATCTGGGATTTGAATTGACAGATCAAGCATTGAAACAGGAGAAGCCAAGTGCCTTTGGAGAAATGGAGCTACAACAAAGAATACTCTGCTGATGAGTGTAAAGAGTGTGAAGCTACCAGCCTCCAGAGCGTGATGTGTTTTGCTTTTGTTTTTACATTACTGGGAATTGAATCCATGGCCTCTTTATCATTGAGCTACATCTATAGACCTTTTTATTTTACTCTTGGGACAGGGTCTTACTAACTTCTTCCTTCAACCTCCTAAGTGGGATTACAATGATGTGACACTGTGTCAGGAGCAGAGAAAGGGGTTAAATGTGCCCTTTGATTCTGGTGCCGACACTAATTGCTCAATTTATTTACCTAATCTCTAGATCTTAGTTCCATGAGGTAAAATGAATAAATGGGTCACCCTCATATTCCTAAAGTTCTTAAAAATCTTGATTATTAAGTATATATACTAGGAGCTAAAGAACCAGTAATGTGTGGCAGCTCCTGTGTGTGTTAACTGGTATAGGTATTGTATGTGTTCTTTAATATGTAGGTTGTTCTTAGAGGAAGTAGTGCTCTCTTGCAGCAAGAACAAAACCTTAGGAAATACTTCCTTACCCACAGAATGTCAGTACTGAGCACTTCAGAAGCCATTGTGAGAATTAACTTTGAGAATATGCTTCTGGAATGTAAGAGCACTGCAGTTAGACGTATAGGAGGCCAGCCCACGAGTTTATCGCCGATTTGGGGAGAGGCAGATGAGGCTTAAAGAACAGACACAAAGAATTTGGAAGAGGAGGCCCAGGGACTTTTGCCTGTAGTGGACAAAAAGCCCCAAGCTGACAGTGTTCCTCACTTTTATTAGACTTGCACAAAGAAGAGGCAAGCATGTGATCAGGGTTCAGGGAAAGTTTATCAGGTTCTCATAATTTGTAGACGATACCCAAATGTGTGTTTTTTAAAATTAGACTACAATTGTAGCTGCTCTTTCTTTCCTTGAAACTGGTTGATGCTGGCATGCTGTTGAACAGCCCAAGAAGCGGGACAGCTTGCTGTCCCCTTCCCCACATCTCAAGGAGAGTTCAACCCAGGCCTCAGTCTCACACCTGGTTTCCCACATTCAAGGAAGCTTATTCCTGAAAATTTGACAGATTAGGGCCCACTTAGCCCTCCAAAGACAGAACAATGCCTCTGTTTCTAATATGGATCTCAGTCCAGTCTGCTGCGCCCTGCTGTGGTATGTAAGTTGAGGTTAACTGTGCAACAGTTCTCATTTAACCAGGCAGGAAAAGGAGAACAAATAAATATCATTTATTAATGATAGGAAAAGAAATAGGCTCTGAAGAGTGAATTTGGGCCAAGAAGAAGCAGGAAAGAAGTATACCCTTATAGCATGAGGGTGGATCATGCCAGAGAGAACACAGTGGCCCTGTCTAAAAGGTTTTACATAAGCTATCTAAGAAATTAGGTACAGTAGGTCCTGTTTACAGAATGTGAAACTCAGCAGCTTTTTGCATAGCCCTGGTGTCTCAGGGTAACAGCAAGGCCAGCCTGCAGACCCCATTCAAGTGCTTGCTAAGCCCCACTGAGCAAACAGCACAGCTGGGAGCCCGGTGACTGCTAACCATCCCGGAATACAATAGTTCTAAAAAAATTACTCTGCCTCTTTCTTCAAGGAAAATCTAAAACTTTTAGCGCTCATAAAGTTAAAATTAAGGAGTCAAAACTTAAGACCCCTTAAAAAGCCTTTATTACAAATTATATTTTCTCATTTGATGTAAGTTGTCATAGCTTAAAACAATTTTTTATTCACTTCATATTCTGAAGGCAGCAATCCTGAGAAAGTGCAGAGTACCTTGTAGGGAAGTTCTCCAAGAACCCTCAGATAAAGACCTAGGGTTAAACCAAACTAATTGTAACTCAGAAGAAGACATGAACCTGTTCTAGGTTAGTTACTAGGTTTTCCTGCATCTTTCTGTCTTTGCCACCTGCATCAGGAGGGCACTGCCCAATAGAAAAAGAACATGAGCCACATGTCTGGGCTTAATAATGTCACTAAAAATAGAGAAACAGGTAAAATTAATTTTAATAATATATTTAACCCAGTTTAAGACATTATCATTGCAACTTTTAATAATTTTTTTTTTAATTAAGAAAAGTTTACCTGCCTTGGCACAGCGTCTTTGGAGTTTGATGTTGTGGCACCAACAGTTCATGCAGCCATGTGGGAATGGGGCATTGCTAGAGGTGCAAGGAGCCTTGCCCACCACCACTTTCCTGTTTATCCCAGGAGCTGCAGCAGGCTGATGACCACTCAGGACCCAGAGAGGAAGCTGACTTTTATTCACCCTTTGTGATCATAATCCAGAATGATCAGAAAGTGATGGGGACTATAGAAAATTCTAGAATGCTCAGTCTAAGAATTTTTACATCATACCACGTAATTTAATGTTTGTTGTCTGGTGCTCTGGTAGAATTATCTATAGCAGTGCTTTAGAAGATTTTTCAAAGTTATCAGCATTTCACATGTTTAAAGATTAGCCATACGCAGTTTCCTAGGACACGTTGAGAAACCAAATTGCTGTCATTGAGAAAATATGTTGCCAGTAGGTGGTGCTGTGTGTGTGCCTGCTGTGATGGAGTGGTATCTGGGAGTGCTCTGGGAGGTTGGGCTCTGGAAGGGGGCTACCTGGATGGCATATGTGTGAGGCAAGAAAGTTGTAGTGGGAGCCACTTGTCTGCTTCTCTGGTTAACAGATTTGTTGTTTGAGTCATGGGAAAAAAGCACTCTCCTTTAAGAATGTTGTAATTTTTACTATGAAATAGGCTGTTTCAGAAGAATAAAAAAGGAAAATGGACCTTCACTATACAGTTTTTTTTTTTTTTAAATTTCAGAGTGCTCCAGAAATTTGGAATTGAACCATCTATCAATTACTATCACGTAAGCCTTGCCTTTAGCTTCCTATCTAATGTACTCCACTAAGGACACCTAGCGTGTCATTGCATCCTGTGAGCCATTGTTGGGTTTTAAAATGACCCAACTCTCCTGGTTACTTTTTCATTGCTGGGACAACATACCTCACATCCATAAGTTAAAGGAGAAAAAGTTTATTTTGGTTCACAGTTTGTAAAGGTTTTAGTCCGTAGTCCTGGCTCCAAGGCAGGGTAGTATGGCAGAGGGGCATGGAAGAGGAAAAAGAATTCACCCTATGGCAAGCAGGAAGCAGTGAGCCGTCCTTCGTCTTTCCCTTTTTATTCTGTCCAGACTACAAGCCTATTGGTTGGTGCCACCCACACCCAGGGTGTGCCATCCTTCTTCAGTAAGTTCATTACTCACACCAAGAACCATGCTAAGCCAATCAGTGGACTAATCCAGTATCACACCTGTGATCCAGTCATTCCTAAAAGACCCACTTGTGAATGCATGAAGCTTTGGGGGCTACATCTAGATATAAGCCCTAATACTGACAAAACCTCCTCCTAATTTCTATGCTTTAAATAGATTATACATGAATTTTGTTCCCATTTGCATACTGATTATGAATTGAAGGTCAGTCAGACCAGTGATTTGGAAGCACAGATTCATGGCCCTTGCTGTGTTGTGTGTGTGCTGTAGGTTCTGAGGGTTGTGTGGAATATGAATTTGAAAAACACATTTAGCTTAATAATATGTTATGTTTGAGGAAAGTTGTTTAGGATTTTTTTATATAATAAACTAGATGATACAGAAATTTAAGCACTAGCGGATTTTACTGGCTGTGAAGGATATAGAAAATACAGTTTTTACTTCTGGGTTGTCTAATTTGCTAACAAAATTCCCTTGGATCTTGGACTGTAGCCAAATGTGCTATAAGTGTTGCTCTGGTAGCTAGTACATACTCCATGGCAGGGGGGAGTGGCCCCAGATCTGTTTCAGTTGAAGCAAAGACAGACATATTACCCCTAAAGCCCAAAACGTTATCTGCATTTATGGAAAAGATGCAGACTCTAGCTTTAGAGAAATATATCAGATTCTTTGAGGTAGCTTTTGTATTTATCACACAGTATGGATTTAAAGAAAGATCGAGAGTAACTGACTTTAGCAGTTCTATAGTTCTGAATGTTGAATAGTTATTATGGCCTTGGCAGTTTGTGCAGTAAATGGTGCCTTTGTCTCCCTCAGTGGTATCTACTAGACTGTAGTCACTTTCCCAGTTGCTGTCTGTTCCTCTCTGTGGAGAGTATAGCATAAGGTACCAGTGGCTTGAAGGACAAGCTACCAGCTGCACCTTGAAGACCCTTCCATACAGGGTGGGACGAGCATTTGCAGGGCCTTTGGTCCTAGTCTGAACTGTATAATGGGAGTGAGGGGAATGGGCCTTATACTTTTGCCCAGAACTTGGTGTTCAGAGATATTAGGGGCCGGTAGTGACAGCCATTGTTGAGCTCTCTGCAAAGTGTCAGAATGCATGCAGGGACTCGGGCAGAGGTCCCAACCGGTCACAGTGCATCTGAGTTTCCTCAGGCTTCCTGCCTGGTGTCCAATATCCAGGTACTTTCCACACATCTGCTTTATGGGAAGCAGGGCTGTGCTGCTAGGACTCACGGGGTGCTTCCTTGGTAGATAGACCTTTCCTGCAAAGTGGACCCTTCTGGAGTCTGGGGGCCTAGGGAAGAGTATCCTGAGGAGGAGAGGCAAGGTAGTGCTGGAGGGCAAGAATGAACACTTCTTCAAGGACCAGCAGCAGAGTGGGATGCTATGCGAGATAAGGGTAGCCCCATCACACTGTGGCATGAGGACATCATCCCACAGCAGCGCCAGTGCTGGGAGCCCAGAGCAGAATCTGTGTCTCCAGTTGTCTGATGCTGGAGTGGGAGTGTAAGAGTGGAGGGAAGGACAGTACTTCAGCAAACTGTGGGACAGGCCACATGGAGGAGCTAGGCCTGGCTGTGGAGGACAAGGCCCAGGCCTCTATGAGACTCAGCCAAGAGAGCAGGGTGATTGGATCTACCTGGACAATTAGAATCTGGGTTTCTACAACGTCCAAGAGGCAAAGTGGAGTGGAAGGACAGAAGGCTTCCTGTGTGAGGCAGTAGGGGTGGGGTAGAGAGGAGAGCTCTATGGAGGGCAAGGCCTATGTCAGGGTGGGCTGAGGGGCATAGGAAGGCACCCACTGCAGAAGTCAGAACACACAGGTTGAGAGGTGCCCTTGTCCTCTTGGGAGGTTTGACTACAAAGGGAAAGGAGACCATAAAGGAGAGGACTGGAGGTGGAGGAGTCTGTCAGAATAGAGCAGGTCTGGGGCTCCTTGTTCTGAGATGGAGGAGGTCAGGGCACCTACAGGTCTTTAAGTTTGCAGTTCAGGATGGAAGGTGGGTGCCCTGAGGGGCTTTCTTCTGTGACATAAGAAGTGATAACCATGGGGAGGTACAAGAAGAATAGGGGCTTAAAGAGTGGAATGGCTGAGAAAGCTTTGAGGGCTACAGAAGACAAAATAAAAGTTGGTTGGCAAGGGTAGCTGTGGTTTGGGCATTTCAGATAGGACTACTCTGGCCAGGAAAGGCTGGGCTGGAACAAGAGAATGGGATAGACAGTCAAGCTGCTTGGTGGAAAGAAAGATAGATGCAGAGAAGGAAAGGAAATGGTGGGAGTACCTGATAGTCTGGTGGATAGAATTCATGTTGCTGATGTCCTCTCCCTCAGCGCTGGGGGAGGGCATTCTCAAGACCAGTCACCAGAACATTACAGTTTTCTAGTTGAAGTTTCATTTCTAATACACTTTCACTTAATGTCAGATTTCAGACTTTAAAGACGCCCTTACCAGAATCTATGGAGTCGTCCCTAAGATCCAGTGCCTTCCATCCACACAGGTCAGACATGTCATGTTTGGTCATTTGTTGTCTTCACTGTGGAGGTTTCAGGGTGGAATTGTACTTGTGCATGCATGTCTATCCTTTTCTGTGTGTGCACATGTGTGAGCATGAGTATAGGCATGTGTTGTATGTGCACAGGTGTGTGTAAGTCTTCTTGTGTGCACACACATATATCTAGGTATGTTTGTGTGAAGCCATGTGTTGTGTGTATGTTTTGAAAGAACCAGTGTGGGTTTTTTACACAATACTAGGCTAGAATTTGTTTTCTTGCCACCTAACCCAATAAGAATATACCTAACCTAGAAGGGATAGTGGTGTGTGTGTGGGGGGGTGGGAAAATACTAAGTTAGAAAATGTCTGAGTTTTATGTTGCTAGTCTTAGTCATTCTAATTGCAGTTATCTGTCCAATTTATTCACAAGATTGTGGTTTCATTTTTCAGCTGATAAAGACTTATTTTAGGAGTAGGATGCTGTGAACCTATAAAAGCTCCCAATGTCTTGATGTATATGCAGCTGGGTCTGCATGAATCTTTGTAGATGGTTTTTAATTTTTTTCTTAGCTTAAAAGCACATCCCTTACCACAGGGCTGGGGAAGTGAGCATAAGGCTGAGCCCTATTGCCCACAACTCATTTACCTCAGCTGCTTGTTGCCTTCATGGTGGCCGGCTTTCTTCTGTTGGTAGAGGAAATTTGCTTCTAGAGTCTGCAGTCTTAGGTCGGGAGCCACTGTTTTTGTTGTCTTAAAGTCAGCTCTATAACATATCATGATCCTAAAACTGATGATATTCCAAGGTCTGAATTTTGAAGCATCTATCACTTTTTATTTTCAGGGTGAGGAGGTGCAAACAATTAGCCAGATAGAGTTGTGCTTCACTAAGGAGGACTTCCATTTGCGGAACTGCACAGAGCCTGGCGAACTGCTGTCACCCAAGCAGGAAGTGTGGCTGACCAAGGTGGCTGCTACACAGTCAATGATGGTCTGTAAAGATGGCCCAGTCTTCTACCCCCCACCTAAAAAGACCAAGTATTGATATCTGAATTTTTAACTTGTGTTCTACAAGTTAAGAGGAATTCATAAATCAGCTACTTTTTAAAAACTGAATCCAAAACCTTTAAAAAATGTGTTCTGCTTTTTTCTTCAGTGTCTATGAATTGGTTTTGTCCCCATCTAGTTAGTGAGTGTTCCTCTGGGTTACACTTCTGTAAATGTACCACCTGCAGATTAATTTGTATCAGGCCTCACTTCCTATCAGAAGGTACCTAGATTTAAGCTACTGCTAAGTGTTGAGAAATGTAAGTACAGCCCAAGGCAGTGCTCCACCCTCAGGTAGTATGTTCTAGAACCTTGAGATGCATCTTCCTTCTTGAGGAATGATACAGCTTTTTGTTTGGGCCACTGTGTCTGGATGTGGCTGGATCACCTGTGACACAAGGCAGTGGTGGTCTGGAATGGGGTGGGGGGAAGTGCCTCCTGTGCAAGCTTTATGGTCTTTCCCAGTGTGCTCTACATGGTCTCTGCTCTTTTTGAGTGTTTTTTTTGTTTGTTTATCTTAATCAGATTAATTATTTTATCTTCAGACATAGTATGTACCTGTATTATATTAAGCATTTAAAATATTTAATCCCCAGAACAGCCATTTTTTAAAAAAAAAATCAGCTTTAAAAAAAATTTTTCAGATTGGCTCAAAAGCAAAACCTAATTGCATGTTGTCTGTAGGAGACGAATCTGAAATGCAGTGATTCAGAAAGGCAAAGCAGAAGAGTAGATGAAGGGTTACCAGGCAAGTGAGTGGCTCTGAGTGACAGTGCTGTGTCCTGAGCTCAATAGGACACCCAGTGTTTCTTCACATAGGAGAGTGGCACTGTCAGGGATTTGATCAAAAGCAGTCCTTTACCTTTTCTAGGACAAAGAGAGGAGCTGGCAGCTTACCCCCAGGAACCGTGTCCCTCTTTTGCCTCAGTCCCCACACGTGGCCTTGTCCATTTGCTACCTTTTGAACTAGCACCCATTTCCAGTGTTTCCCCTGGGCTTGCTGACCCAGAGTGTGTGTGTTTCTTTCCTACACTGACAGTTTGTGTAGAGATGTTTGTGAGATGAGCCAGGTAAAAACTGAGAAATTTTGCCTCTGGACTGGAAACCTCTCCCTCGGAGGGTCCTTCAGAAGAGAACTGTAATCCTCAAGGTCATTCAAATGATGGCTGCTGTTTCTTTGAGTCATCTTATAAACACTTGGCTCAAGGCTAGGGTTTCAAGGTCAGTATTTGCATAGGAGCTCTGATTTGAATTGTGTTTATTTTATAGCCTTGGAAAGTCAAGGAAGAAAGTTTTCAGTGCTTCTCAGATGCAGTCCAAAATCTGCCATTGCCTCTCAAAACAAGACATTATTTTGAAAAATAAGGCATATTTGTCATCTTAGTCTGAGAAGACTGAGATTCAAATGGAGACATGCTGGGAAGATTTGTGGGCTGCAGAGTAAATGGAGTTCATGTAGGAGGAGGAGCCTGTCGATGTCTTACTGTGATGAGTAAAGTATGAGTGAGGCACAGCAGTTCTTGGCATCATTGTATTTCTGTTTTGGGCATTTTCCAAATTCAGGTCACAATTTGTAGTCCCTTCACATGCATGTTTATATACTAACATTCTTACAGAGCATGTAAAATGTATGCAGCAAGACCAAAGATAGGACACGTGCCAGGTTACGTGAAGTGTGTTCCAGAAGCCAATGCTCGGATAATCCCATCCCACCTACCTGGTGTGAGTCCCTAAACAGGGTTAATGCAGGCCTAAGCAGGGTTAATGCCTTGAGTATTTACCCTCCCCTCCCCTCCAAAGAAGTCCAACTTACCATCAACCTCTAGGGAACAATCTGTCCCAGAAGCATTGATGCTGGGGACCCAGGATCCCCTCCCATGCAGAATTGGGGTGCCATTTTTCATTTCTTTTTGTGATGCTGTGATGACACCTTTTTACATAGTTTGTTTCCCATCTCCTGCCTCCTGTGTATGACTGACTGTAGTTCCTAACCTTCCTGAAACATGTCTGCTACCCCCAGGGAAGCTGGAAGCCACCCCACTGACAGCTGTAGGCATCGAAGCAGAAGAGGGAGGAAATGTTCAAGGGAAGGCTGAGTGAGCAAGCAATGTTCCCTCTTGAAAAGCCAGCAAGAGAGAAATGTCCTTGAGCTATGGGGAGAAATCATCCTGCTGCACTTGCATTTGTACTACAAAGAGCACAACACAGCACAGTGAAGCACCATTGTCATCTCCCCAGTCCTGGACAATGTTCCTTGCAAGGGAATGAGGACTGAATCTTTGCTCAGCATCTTGGTTCCCTAGGATGGCTTTATTGGTGCAGGTTCCCCTCAGAGTATGTAGAACAGGTGTGATGTGGTCTTCTCTTCTCTAACTTACAGTAGAATTACCCTTGAATAAGAGACCCAGGAAAAATGTTAAGGCAATGCTCAGCCAGTACCTGAAAGTTCAGCCATTTGTGCACTGTTCTCTGTGGGTTTTACCCTAAATAAGATGCCAGTGGGGGAGAGTGAATCATTGATGGGGCTGTGCCATATACCAGAGCTTAGCACACTGCAGCCAAGCTGATCTTAGCCCCGGACACTTGGTCACCAGTGCCCTCCCTGGTAGTCCTATCTTCCATAAGCAGCTTGGTGGGCCAACGGTAGACACAAAAGGCAGCCATAAGCAACTGCCATGTCCTTTCTCTGAGGTCCTGAGCTTTGGCTTCATTGTGCTTAGGAGAGTTTTGTTTTCTTTTTCTGTTTTTTTTTTTTTTTTTTTTGGTACCGGGGAATGAACTCAGAACCTTGCACTCGTGAGGCAGGTGCAGTGCCACTGAGCTAAATCCCCAGCCCAGAAGAGTTTTTTATATGCTGGATATGAGAACTTTCTGAACAGTGGCCCAAGAGGAAATTTTAAACTATTACATCTAACCTTATGTTTCATAGAAAACCCATGTGAATCAGTAATGGTGTCAATAATAAGACTACTCAGGAGTATTTTTAAATTAACAATACTAAGTCAACCGTTTATTAGCACTGGAGAGTTATGACTACATGGTGTCCCAAAGCTGAGCAGGCAGTTTGGAGGACAGAGAGAAAGGAGCTATTGTCTTGCTCAGAATACAGTTGGAGAGACCACAAAGGCCTCTGCAGAGAGGGACATTTGGGAAATTAGCAAATAAAAGTCTATTAAAATCTTCTGTATTATGGACTTCAATTCATTTTATTCTCATTTCTTCAGAAAAGATTAGAGGGCCCCATTTCAGTTTTCATCAGCTGGTACTGCAGGCATGAGGAAATAGCTTAGAGGAAAGAAAAGTGGATTTATGCTTTTGTTCTGCTACAAATTAGATGATGCTACCAAGTTTCTCAAGTCCAAATCTCAAAGTTAACATTGTAAAGTGGGGTGAGGTGGAGGTTATTTGGGCTTTTATAACAAAGGTACCACGGACCAATTGGGCGGCTTAGAAACAACAGAAATTTGTTTCTCACCGTTGGGAGTGGCAAAGCAGCAAGCCCCATCCATCACAGGACACTAATCCAATTGGAAGCTCCACTTCATGGCCTTCACCTCCCCAAAGCACCACCTCCTCATACGACCTTCTTGGGATTGTGAATTCAACATGTGAATTGGGAAAGGGGGATGCAAATGTTTAGCCCATCTCAGGATACAACTCTGACTACTGGTTTAGGTTGTGATTGCTGAAGGACTCAATGCTGAATGTGAACAGGTTTTGTGAACTGCAAAGTCTGATGTGTAGCTGGAGTGAGCATGTCAGCTCAGTTTTCTGTTTATTAAACACAGGGATCCGATCTTCCCACCCTGGGAATTCAGAAATGGAAAATCATGGTCTCCTTCCTTGAGGGGAATCATGGCCTAGTAGGGAGGACAGATGGAAAACAAAAACAATCCCCCACAGTCTTTCCACTCTTTTTCCCAGATGACGGGATTCTCACCATCAAGTGCTATTTCTTCCACTGCGGCTATCCCTGGCTCCTCCTCTTTCTCTGATTTTTGGCTGTCATACTGTACTGGCATGGCATTTCTTAGAGACATCTAATCATGGACTGAACCCATTTAAAGCATTAAAATTAACCTGTCCTTTAAATTGTCTATGTATTTGGCATTTTGTCCCAGTGATGGGAACGTGACTAATACAGAAAATTGGTACCAGAAGTGGAGCTGTTGCTGTGACCAGAGCTGACCAAGTAGTTTAGGGGCCTTTGAAACTGGTTTCTGGAGTAGTTTGGAAAGCTTTAGAGATGAAGGCTAGAGAAGCCATAGACTGCTATAAGCAGAATCTGATGGGTGGTTCTGGTTAGAGTTCAGAAGACCAGAATGCTAATAAGAATGTAGAGAATAAAGGCTAGGCTCAGGAGGTTTCAGATGGGAAGAACTCTATTCAAAACTGGACTAGAAGCCATGCATGTTTTATTCTGGGAAATAATTTATTTATATTTTGTCCCTGCCCTAAGATTTTGTATGAAGCTGAATTTAAAGATGGTAGACTAATTAATCTGTTGGAGGAAATTTCAAGGCAGGCCAAATTTCAGGCTGTGGCATGGATACTGCTAGCTTTTTTAGCCAGACCTACAGTTTTTTACTCCATCAGGAGTAAAAAACAGATGTGAAAGTTTGCAGTTTCATCAGAAAAGAAGCACCTACAAAGTTGGGACAAAGGAGAGCATGATTGTTGGAAAAAATTACCTTTAAAAACAAAGCCAAGTACTTTGCATCAAAATAATACGAAATATAATTTGAAGACATCTCAGGAATCAAGAAAACCCCACACATCATTGCTTAAAGGTGTAAAAGTATAAACCTTTCATTTGAGAAGAGAGACCCTGGGCCACTTGCTCATTCAGGGTCACCTAAGATGTTGGTTCCCTAGGATTTACTTCACCATGCCCTGCCATCCAGGAACTTAGAGGCCACTGTGGCCATGATACAAGGGAGCCTGACTACTCCTTGAACTAGCGACAGACCTTGAGGTTATCCATGTGATTCTGGTATTATGGACACAGAATGCAAAAATTTTGGGGTCATGGGTTTTGGAAGAAGGCCTGGGAAGTCAGGCAGTGTCTCTGAGAAGGCAGTGTGTAAAGCTATGAGAGTGAAGCTGATCATACAATAAAGACCCTAGGAATTTGGAGATGCCATGAATGTGGAATGTGTGCTGAGGAAAGCCAGAGGCAATGAGCAGAGACAGCCCAAGAGAAAGGTCATAGGGGTTTAAGCCAGTAATATAAGGATGTGGCTGTCCAAATCCTTTAGTGCGCACATCTTGCCACAGCTTGCCCCAGGTGCTGGACATGGAACCATAGGATTTAATGTTTATCTGCTGGATTTTGGTCTTGCTTTGGGCCAGCCAGATACTTTCTATTGCCTTGTTCCTTCCTGTTGGAGTGGGAATGTTTATCCTATGTCATTGTGTGTTGGAAGTGTTTAACTTTCTTTTTTTATTTTTATAGGGGCTCACAGCTAAGAGTTTGCCTTGAGTCTCAGTGTAAATTTTGGACTTGGACTTTTCAGCAATGCTGAAACTGTGAAGCCTTTGATAACTCTTAGAGGTGGACTAAATTCATTTTGCACAGAGTTGTGTGTGAGTCTTTTGGGGTCCATGGGAGGAATGTTATTGTTTAGATCTAAAATAATCCTCTAAAGACCCATATGTTTGGAAAGTGATTAGATCATGGGGAAGCTATATTTATCAGTGGTTTCATCCATTGATGAGTTCAGTAACTGTGCTATTACGAGGTGGGGCTTGGTGTAAGGAGAGTCACTGTGAGTGTGACCAGAAAGCATGTATTCTCATCATAGGCTTCTCCTCTATCTGGTTCCTGGTTGCCATGCAGTGATCAGTTTTTCTTAGCCATGCCACTCAGGAGAGAGAGTGAGTGGAGGATCGGCATTGGGAAGCAATGTGAAGCCAAGTACAACATGCTTGGGCAGCTGTTGTGAAGGGCCTCACAAGGCACAGTGTAGATATAAAGGGCGTGTGGAATGGATTTACCTTGGGGATCAAGGCGCTGCATAAAATTGTACAGGCTATGCACAGGACACGGCTCATACTCCTCACATTTCAGCCCCTTGACTTGTGCTGTGTTCTACTTGTATAGTGGTCCACTGTCTTAGTTACTTTCTTGTCACTGTGAAATATCCAACACCTGCAAATTAAAGGAGGAGAGATTTATTTTGGCTCATAGTCTGTAGAGGTTTCAGTCCACAGTCCACTGGCTCCCAAGCAGGGAAGCATGGCAGAGGGGCATGGTAGAAGAGAAACAGCTTGTGGCATGGTAGTGGGAAGCAGAGAGAAAGAGATCAAGGGAGGAACGAAGGAGATACACCCTTTCAGGCCATGCCCCCTGTGACCCATCTCCTCCAATTAAGCTTCACCTCCCAGCATCACATTTAGCTGTAAACTCATCAATGGACCACTGATGCATATTACACATGAACCAGTCACCTCCTAAAAGCCCACTATGAACCCATGAGGTTTTGAGGGAAGGACCTAAATATAAATCATAACATC